ATATTCGTATAAAACAGCGGCAACTGATATATATCATAACTGTTAAGAAAATGCAAATTTGTTCAAAACTCTTCCTTCGCGGGTACTACCAAGTGGCGACAGACGCGTAGGAGGAGAATATAGAACGCTGGAGCTCAGCACAGACACTTGCTTACGAAGAACAGTGTGACCTGCGCAGCATGCTGAACAGTGCGCAATATACATATAAGAAATCCGGTCTGATATCAGTAGAACTTTAATATTCAAGCTTTTGTCATTACCACCATCATCATGACTCTCTGTTGAAGAACCCTCCAAGCTTTTATCGCATAATTCTGATCCCACGTTTATCATTTATGTATCATTTATTCTTTAGCTCAACCTGCCATCGTGCCATCTGGAAGCCTTCCCACGAACAGTTTACTGTCTGTTATAATCCAGTCTACTATTTCCTAGTCAGATGATCGTCTCTTCTTGCCACGTGTCCTGCCCTTTGCCATTGTAACTTTTTTTACTCCCGTGTTCATATCGCAGATTCCTACCAATTCTGCTTCTATCCATTCATTCTTGTTCAAATTTCTTCTTGTTAATCTCAGTCTATGGCACTATTCATCTGCGTGGCTTGATCTGGAGTTTGTGAATAATTTTCATCCGTAGGGTCCACGTCAAGAATCAGTAGATTAGGACTGAGAACGGTTCTAGAATGAGAACTTAAGGCAGCTGTCTGAATGAGAATCTTTCAGAATCGCTCGGGCGATTTGTAAATTTATGTTGATTTCTGCAGAAACCAGCTCATCCATACAGACGTTGTTTAGCACCTCTGCAAAGCTAAGTCGGCCAACTTTGGTAGGTTGATTTATGAAGCATTACCTGAGGTTCTTGAGGTCCTTTAACAATCTTGCTATGATAGTGGCGTCGTTCAGCTCTTGACTTCTTCTGGTGACCTTGAGAGGATTAGAACATCGTCTAAAAACAACAAATAGCTTAAGCAGTGCATTTATCTTCAGCCCCTGATCTTCTGAATGGCGTACTTCGAAAATCTCGTCAAAGCCGTCATGAGTAACGTCATTGGCGTTGCACAGGCTTGTCAGACGCCTTTTTCGATCTAAATTTGTTGGTATTTTCGCGGATCCCGAGCCTTCTCGTAAGTCATGGCGAAATGGTCTATGCGTTTTCCTCGATTATTTCTGACTCACTGGGACTTCGAATTCCTTCTAGCTCCGAAACTGTCGACTGCTGCGGACGGGCACCCTCATTCACGAAAATTCACCACCTGCCCATCTTGAAGGAGGTCCGTGAGACACGGGTCAAGACGTTGGTGTTGGTCAGTGACCGGACTGGCCACGGCATCTTTTACGTTGTGCATCAGTATACCGTATTTGACGCTATTTTACCAGCATGACCATCAACGCACGAATCAATTACTTGACAGTGATAAGGTTGCACTGAGATGGCAGAATGCATCCAAAAGCTGGTTTCCAAACAGTCGACCGTTAGAGTGGACGATGAATTTGGTCATAACGGTAAGCATGATCTACACAAATCGTTGTGACTACTCGCAAACGGTAGAACCGTGCTGTAGATTTCGAATTTGCAGAGAATTCACCACAAGCGTCGATAGAAAGCGCGCGGAGGAATTGATATTCCAAAATCAATCGTCCGCAAATTACCGCAGCTCAATTTCAAGATGAATACCTATCATCTGGGCTATCAATAACTGATCGAAAAAGATACGAATCGTTGCGACGACCTTATTTGAATCTTTATGTCTGCTATGCTCTTGTGAAATAGTATTCT